TAGTTTTCACGTCGTACGTCATAGAGTAGTAGGAGCTGCACTGTGGCTTATTTGTTATGTGTGGTTGGCATAAAGCAAAGCCGGTTGCTGCTTGATCATGGCTGTGATGTCTACAATATGAAATGACCTACGGAGGTTTCTGAATAGAAAGTCACTGTTTATGTAGTGCTACGTACACGTGCGGCTGCGTGCGTTGCGTGTCGCACGTACACGCATGCGTGCGGTGCGTGCGCGAGCAGTGAGAAGGGTTCGAGCTTCCCTGACTGAGCCGAGCTGCTCCACCTGTTATAGTCCTTGCGTCATGGAAGGGGGTAAGCAAGCGGCGTGATCATCGTCCTGCGCTTCGTATCTTGCGTATACTTCTACGTGAGCTCCGCTACACCTACATGGTCATCTAGCAGGTCTCGACAAGCCGCGCAGCAGCTAGAGAAGCAGTGGGATGGTGCGAGCTTCCCTGACTGAGCAAGCTGGCCATGTGTTCTTTGGAGCTGGACGCCGCACTATATACAGCCGTGGAACACCACGTGTGACACATTTCATGTGGACCCCCCGCACTGTGTCACCTGCAGTGTCCCGTCAATAACGCGTAGGCGTTGCGTGTGTACCCTAGTGTGTGCGCGGCGTCGTGCGTGCGTATCTGCGTGTGGCGCGGCGTGCCGTCCGTGCGTGCGTGGTGTGCGTGCGGTGTGTATCTGTGTGTGCGCGGGCGTGCGTGCACGTGTGTTCTTGTGGGTGTATGTGACACACGGTGCAATATTAGTCTGTACCACAAACCATGAGTACATCAGTGAGGATACCGCGTGGAACAGTGGTGTGAGCGTGGGCAGTGTTGCTCTTATCACCTGCATATAAGGGCCACTCGAGGGAATCCGAACGTGTCCTTTATAGACAGGTGTCGAACTGTGTTGTTTCGCTGCATTAGTTGGGTAACTTGGTAAACTCAACGTAAGGTACTCAAAGTAAACGGTTGAGGGTAAATATTCGACAAGGAGTAGTGCTCATGCTATAGAGCTGGTTTCTGTGTATAACTGTGAATCAGTGGAAATGACCAGTGTTCCTTGTTGACAGACCCCCCCCACCCCAACCCCCCGTTATAAAGTAGCGTTCGCTAAATATGCAGCCCTAGACGTGGTACCATACCCAGTCTGCTATACTGTGTAGCATACAGTACCACACCCAACCGTCCACACCGCCATCCTCTCTACTGCATATCTATCTACTAGATCACATTGATGCTGACGCGGCAACGCGTGCATGATCCAGATAGTATAACACTATAGCTATCATTAATGCGAATCTCAGTGAGTAAGTGCTAGCAAGCTATCAATGCCGACGTGACTACTTCTACTGGAATGGAACTAAAGGCCGCCCGGGCCAAATTCCCTTTCACAGGAAACTCCTAGAAACGTGATCCGCTGTCTATCACTCGCTGCAAACCCATAAAGGGTATATAGGGTTCCAGGCCCCGTAGCCAGGGGGGGGTTCGGGGGTTCGCACGACCCCCCCAAGTAAAAAATTGGGGGAAAAAAATTCCATTTGAAAAATTTTGTCAAGAGAATTTCATCGCTCAGGTATCACAGATCGGCTCCATTTAGTGCTAATCAATTGCCAAAAATTCTCCATCGTGTGGAGGGGGGAGCACCGCTCTCCACACCCTCCCCCTGCTCGATCGCTATGGCTTCCTTGGACTCGGATCAGCGTTGCGCCCCTCCATTACAAATTGCTCAACATTTTAAAAAACGAACCGCGCCCCATTATAAAGCTGGCTACGGCTCTTGTAGCTTAATAGTTAATTAATTCATAGTTAATGATTAATAGTTTAATGGTTTAATTGTTTGATAGTTAAAAGTTCAGTAGTTAGGTTGATGTTACAAAGTTCATAAGTTTAATGGTAATAGTTAAGGGAAAGTTTACTCTAGGTACTAGGGTTACTTTTCAGCTAATTGTAGTTATAATTACGCTACATAAAAGTGTTCATGGTTTCAATGCACATTAGAAATATTTTTAAAAAATGTTAAAACTACGGACTACAGTTTGATTACAAAAAACCGGAGGTGGCGCCACTCAATAGCGCAGCGATCTGATAAGTTGCGCAAAACCGACTTTCCAGCCAATGCTACAGACGCGGTGGTGTTGCTTATTTAATTCATTAAAAGCAAAAGGATTGTAATATCCTTATAGAACGACCATATAGTTTCAGTTTTTATAATATGGATATAATGTTGTCCCTAAAATGAATATCGTTCAGGATTAAATAGCATTTAGGTATAAATATAATTGCACTTTTGTTGATAGCCTTTGGCTTGTAAAGCGTGCAAAATAAATTGTCAAATACGCAACCTTTTTCGGGTGGCAGCACGTGCGCGGGTGTCATGGCATGTTCAAATTTTCGTAGCGTTGATGTGTAATTATCTATAACAACTTAAATTAAGGTTCGTGGTAACAAAATAAAGTGTGGCGTATAGACGATTTGTTATACAGTACAGTACAGTTGTATGCAGATAAATCCTTAGAGGCTACTGTTCCCTTTATGATTAGATATTAATCGGTTGAATATTCATAGTTGAATACTCATAGTTTAATGGTATAATAGTACATAGTAATGATTAAATAGTTAATGTTGAATATTCATAGCTTAATGGTTAATGGCTTGAATGAGTTAATGAGTTAATAGTTAATAGTTAATAGTTAATAGTTACCTTCAGGTCCCTGTGGATGATCTTTTTCTGATGACAATACTGAACAGCGGAAACAATCTAAAAGGAAAACGAGTAAACAATAAGTTACACAGAGTTGGCAGTTTTTCTTGGGGGGGGGGAGCACTACAAAGAAGCGCTGTTTGCACGACTCTCGTCTGACTACCTGCACATTATCCGATCAGAAATCTCATAAGTTCACCATCGGCAGATGTGACCGACTAACTTTTGATTAGGAACATACATATATACATACAGTTACAGAAATGTCACCTTGACAGTACCAGCGCAATCAAAGGCCACCGCAGGCCGTAGTTAAGAGACAAACAAACAACCAAAATGCAAACAAACAACGTGCCATAGATATCAAGCAAGTACGATAAACGTGCCGTCTGCAACAAAAAAGGAAAAATCTACCGCCGAACTATCGCCAGAGATGCCAACACATATTTGAAGCAATCTGTAGTTTCTGGCCATCAAATTAATAGTTCGAGCGTGACCCGAGTTTGGTAGGGGGGTCCGGCATGCCCCCCGGAAAAAATTTTGATTCTGAGATGCAATTTCCTGCATTCTGAGGGTCAATAATGACAATAAATTAACAAAAAATGACACCAAATTTTTTTTTTTCCCCCGATCACAGTGAAATACGTGATACAAACTGGTCGTAGTGGTGAAAAAGGAATAGAAATTCGTATAAAATACGGATAAATCGTAGTGGTTGGCATCTCTGTATCGCACGAGACGAGCGCATGCCCCGTGGAGCCCCCACGCGGCGCCGCTGATCGAACGCTCACCTGTCGAAACTTCGCTCTCGCCTCTTTCTCCTTCATCCGGCCATGAGCGACAAGGTAGTCGAACACCTCCCCTGTAACACGACAACCACAGATGGTGCGATTAGCGTGAACGTGAATGTTAACACCACGCAATACGAACTAAATATACGGCAAAAGCGCTAAATTCACAAAGAACGAAAAATCTAACGCGCCAACGCGGAACATCGCGGTATAATCCCCACTGTATTTTTTTCTTCGATAATATTTGCTTTAAATTTTAACATTTAAAATATAAGAATTGATATTTTTTTAATCAGCACGATGCGATGGATCGCTTACCGCCGCTTGCATACTCCATTACCAGATACAGCGTCTTGTCCGTTTCTATCACTTGAAATAACTTAACTGAAAGAGAAAGAAAGCAGGCGGTTTGATTCTCACTGACACCGCAATTAATTTACGACATTGTCGCATGACGGTTAAAGCGGACCGCCACACGTACATGTCTGTAAAACCTACGCCATATGTAACCCACTCCAGTACGAGCACCGCTTTCACGAGATCTGAATTGCTCAAGACATCGTTAGGAAAATCATAATTAACAAATGAAAGAGTATTAATTTCTTAAAATTATTCTCAGTATCGTTCGTTATGCAAGATACTAACAATTCCTCTCAAGGGCATCGGTGCACGAAATGAATTTTTTTAACCGCTTGCACCGTAAACCCATAGACGAAATTTTCGCGAAGCCTCTTGGATTAATATGAACATCATAATTAACGCAAAACCTCATAATCATTAGATAGGACATTTACGATTCGTTTCAAGAGCATCTGTGCGTGGAGTAATCTTTTTGCCACCTGCACAGCAACCTATAGTCAAAGTTCTGCTTCAGTACCTAGTGTCTTACATACACCTGGCTCAACTCACACTAGTTCTAATCCAGGGGCCTGCTGTCAGAAACAAGATTAGTCTCAACATTAGTCTTAACAATAACATTAACTTCGACTTGTCGACCCTTTACAGAAACATTGTAAAGCTATGAGAATGAAAAATCCGACCAACTATAAATGTATATGAATTCGAGTGCTTGTGACAGCAAATTACCTAGTTCTTGCTCCCATAAATTTTCTCGAAGCTGCGATGTGTTTCTGTCAATGCTATTCTAGTAGCAATAACTTCAGTCGTAAGTGCTGTCTTGGCATTAACATTAGCCTAAAACTATACGATATTTCTGACAACGGGGCCCCAGATGTCCAACCACTAATTAATTAATGCGCAATTTTAACGACTACGTAACGAAACATAAACTCACCTATATTTGGATGGTCTAAGAACTTCATGATTCTCACTTCCCTAAACAGCTGAAACATAAATCAAGGTGGCATCGTAAAACAAACTGTACACAATACAGCCTCTTCAAAGTCTCGCGCTACTTCTGCACTCTCAGCTTCCGATACACGTAGTAATTTAGAAATAATTTACAAGCCTCCTCGTATCTAAAACCTTTTAATAGCACAAACTACTGCAGACTTACTCTTGCTTAATTAAATCCGTCAACGATCGGAAAGCATTAATACCGGCCGAACGAATTAAATTGCTATTTTTGCGATCGCTCGAGATAATTTGCTTTTGCGGTCGCCGTCTTGGTTCATACTGATCAGAACGTGAGAAAAACTAGTTTGGTTTCTCTACGTTGCACTGCAACACAGTAATTGAATGCCAAATAAAAAAGTAATGCTTGTAAGGTTTCTGTAAATTTCATTGCTTACTGAGACACACATTAGATTATCTACAGCCATAACACATATTTATTCATACCAGCAACAGTAATTCAATCTAGCATCGCGCATTTTACGTTTCCCTAAAATAATTGACCATATTTATGCACAATATCTGTACAATGTCAAGGGCACGACTGTACGAAGGAAAGGTATATCTACATACTACACATAGAGTCTAGACTCTAGAGATATGTAAAAAGTGTGTGAATATGAAAATGATGTGCACATATACCCATTTTACATGTGAGAGGTGTGTGTGTACCACATTACTGATGTGATTACATATGAGAGGGAAGTTACTGATAAAATGAGTAATAAATGGTATAATAATGTAATGGGTAATAGCAGTGGACTGTATTAATATACGTTCATTTCCCCATCACACACGAGGTCGTAACTCACTACAAATATCACATAACACTAACTAACGTAAAACTACACGATATCATCGACATTTTTCTAATGTCAACAAGCACCTGCAACCAAGTCTGATAAAATGTCAACAAGCACCTGCAACCAAGCCTGATAAAATGTCAGCAAGCACCTGCAACCAAGTCACACACACACGCGCGCGCACAGGTTACCGCTCTAAATTACCACTACATCGACGACGACTTATCCTTAGCGAAATTCGGACCTAAGCTACCCGTCAGCTTTTCGGGGCCGCCGCAACAGCTGGGGCGGGGGGGGGGTCCAATCCCCTCCGAGTAGTAAGTAGTAACACAGAGCAGACTTGACCCCGTAACGACGATTGTGCTTCACCCTCGAAAGGTTTATCGTTTGGCAGTAGCAACCCCCCGCCTCTCTCTACGTAACCAATCGCTCTAACACAGTGCGTGCGGGCAACTGCACGCTCTGCGTAGCTGAGCTCATTGCAGTAACCAGTAGAAACGTCCCCCCCCCCACCCCCGGTTTAGACAGAGTACGGCATCAACTACAAAATCTTCTGAGAACGAGAAAACCAGAAGGGCGGCAAGGGAAGCCGGAGAGTGGCGCACGCGGCAACTATCGAGGAATCCCCGCTGCAAACTATATACCCGTTGCAATCGTACGTACATTCGAGTTGTGAGGTTCTAATGACCCATTGACTGCAAGTTTATTCAGTTGTCAGTTTTTGCTCCGTGTGCGCGATGGACCCATCCTGTTGTACTTTAGGGATTGCGACACTTCCAGAAAGAATTTTGTTGAGAAGGTTGAGTCGGTTCTCTTTATGGCGTAGTTGAAGATTCGGCCAATTATGTGATAGTAACACTGCAGTTACGCAGTTTTTATCATATTTTAATCACTATCTATTTACTCTTGTTTGATATCGGTGCAAAAGATCTTAGCTTATGTTAATAATGTTCATTATATACCGATGAAAATAAATTTTACGCGTGCTTGTTGCCAACGTAACGCTGAGCGTAACGTTACACCGGTAAGTGTTGTTGTGAACGGAGTAGAGAAGAGAGACGATCGAGGTGCGTGCGGGAAAAACCCTGCAGGTGTATCAAACGAAAACGCCAAGATGACGCCTTATTACGAGATACGACACCGTACGAGAAAAGAAAACGGTATTATATAATAATAATAGTATGAATCATAATATGTTCATAGCAGGAATTTTGCATTAAAGATATTGTCAATGAAATCTTGTAAAACGAACCAGACGAGTGTGTGTGTGTCTATATAATATGCTATATAATTGCCAAACCCTACCTAATTTGCATAATTTTTTTTTTAAATATCAAAACCCCTAACCCTTATTCATTCACATACCAGAAATGAGCAAAATCCGTTGAACCTGAACTGACTAATGGCAATTCCCAATGTTTCCCAAAAATGCCGTTGCTCGAAATACGTCGACTGGCGTGCTCCAAAATAGGACGTTTAATATGGGAGCATAGCAGTAACAACGATAACCAATTTCAAACATGTGGGTCAAACGGTTCCTGAATTATCGTTGACCATAGCCAAATGTTGACGGATGGACGGACGGACGGACGTACGACGACCCATGGCAATAGCTCAGCTTGACGATGTCAAGGCGAGCTAAAAACGAAGCAAGTTTTACTGCCTAGCAGACAAGATAGACGTGTGTGCTCGATATCAAGAACTTTCTAGGGCTTGCAAACCAATTACCTGGGAGTTTCCACACCACATGGACAGAAGCATTAGAAAGGTACATGGAGTTCCTGGTTTAATTAGACCAGTATCATGCAGGGGTAGAAATTAACTTTTGAACAAGGGAGTCCAACAGACTCCCTGCCCTCAAAAAGAGGGAGTCCGCAGCAGAATTAGGGAGTCCGTAGTCTGAGGTTCAAATTTAAAGATATTAACAATAACGCATGTACTTATTTTTAAGATTCATGCAGTTGCACGTCTGCCAAATTTTCTTTGGGCATTTGCTGAAAAAATAGAGTAATTCCGCGAGGCCGTGCTCCGAAATGAACTAGTTCGTATGGCAGAATTTTCAGGGAGTCACACGGACTCCTGCATATGTCAAATCAGGGAGTCCGACAGTTAATCAGGGAGTATTTGACTCTGGACTCCCGTTAATTTCGCACCCTGTGTATGTACGAGACATCAGGTAACATGCGTGACGTCACGAGTACAAACGTGCATCAATACAACTTTATATCAACCGATGACATCATCGCGCAAACTGTGCATATCACACCTCGTTATGAAATAATGTAATTACCAGTCGCGACGGCTGCCGTGCACACGCGTACGTACCTTTTGCAAACTTGACGGGTTTAGTTGTGTTTTATCGATGATTTTGATAGCGACCTGCAAATGAAACAGAAATTGATTACTTTCAGAATTACAATGGTTCAACGTAATAGGTATGGTGGCTCTAATAATAATGATGATGACGACGACGACGACGACGACAACGATGATAATAATATAATAATAATAGCAACAACAACGTGGCTTTAAGATAAGGTGGCTCTAACACTATCTATAACGCCATTTATTTCACCAGGGGTTAATGATGACAAATTTGTCATTATTAACCCCTGATTTCACCTATACCCACACGAATCATTTAGACACATAAAACTTAAGGCCTGGGAAGGCTGGCTATAAAATCTTAGTACACCCCACACCGAAATCAGTAGTCAGGCACCACTTACTAAGGCAAAGGCACCACTTACTAAGGCAAAAGCACCACAACCCTTAGGAAAAAACGGTTCAACCAAGATCGATTTGAGAGGAAAAAAAACAAGCACGGATACGTCATTGCTCGGTGGATTTTTTATTCATACATTGGCTTCATCAATACATTATTTGCTGCGGTGCTGCGATGTGGTGCAAATATCGATTATTAGAAACGTGGCTGCTATCGAGCACGTGGCGTTGCTACGATTTTCCCCACGTTAACCGTGTTACGTTATCCACCCCGTACGTTTCCCGGTTTTCAATGATGGTTTTTTCACCCAAGGAAATTCACGAATCCAGCCAACAACAACAGCAGCAGCAGCACTAGCACCAGTACCAGTACTACCAGCAGCAGCAGCACCACCACCATCAGTCCACCACCACCACCACCAACAGCAGCAGCAGCAGCAGCAGCAGCAGCACCACCAGCACCAACAACAACAGCAGCAGCACTACCACCATCACCACCACCATCACCAGCAGCAGCAGCACCATGCACCACCATCAGTCCATCACCACCACCACCAACAGCAGCAGCAGCAGCAGCAGCAGCAGCATCACCAGC